TTTTTATAGACACTAAAATGTAAATTAGTAAATTTTTTTCCTTTTTTAAGTTTCCTTTTATTTTATCTAATACTTTTAAAAATTTTAAGTGCTGATAACAACTACAAAGGCAAAGCTATTCAATTGACAGAAGAAATTGTTGAACTTTTTGAATATGACATTCCATATGTTCAACGTGTTGCAATTGATAAAGGTATTTTTCTTTTATATTGAATTAATAATACCAGCTTATTTATCATTCACTAACGATGTATCATTATTATTGATTTTCTATTTGATAGGATTTCGTGCAGGTCAATGGTACACAGTAAAATCATTCCTTGACAATAATGATGAGGGTGTAATAATTAATTTGGAGCATCGAGCAGACATTAGCAATGACGTTGATCTAAAAATATTCTCATTTGATATCGAGACATCTAAACCTCCGTTAAAATTTCCAAATCCAGAAATTGATGAAATTATGATGATATCATACATGGTTGATGGCGAAGTAAGTAATCAAATAGATATATATAAATTGATTTGGAAACTTCTCTCAAACTTTTTCTATATGCAATTTATTTTTATTTATAGGGCTTTTTAATCACAAATCGATGTATTGTTTCACAAGATATTGGTTATTTATCATATTCACCGTTGAAACAAGAAGATTATGAATTTACTGTTTTTAATGAGAAAGACGAGGTAAACATTTCTAAGCTAATTTGGTAACTTGGAGATCTTTTTTGTTATCATCTTTAATAAATATTGATCCTTGCACGTACATTTAGGAATCATTATTAAGAAAGTTTTTCTCACATATTCAAAATGAAAAACCTTCTGTGCTTGTTACATATAATGGTGATAACTTTGACATGCCTTATGTCAAATTACGTGCATCAAAATATGGAATTGACATGTTTACAGTAAGCCACACATTCTTTGCTCGCTCAATATAAAAAATCAACAGATGTTAACATTTTTATATTCATCAGGAAATCGGATTTTCTGAGAATAAATATGCTGAATATACATCTGACTATTGTATTCATATGGATTGCTTTTACTGGGTAAAAAGAGATAGTTATCTTCCTGTTGGAAGTCAAGGCCTTAAGCGAGTGACCGAATCTAAATTAGGTTACAATCCTGATGAATTAGACCCGGAAGTTATGACAATGTATATTTTATTTTTTTATTGTTTTTTGATTGGTTGGTTATATATATATATTCATATTTTCTATATATTTTTAATAAATAGTCTTGCCAACAAAGATCCATTAAAATTGGCTCGTTATTCCATTTCTGACGTGGTGGCTACGTACATTCTTTTCAACAAATATGTTAGACCATTCATCTTTTCTTTAGGAAATATTATCCCTATGAATCCAGACGATGTCTTACGCAAAGGAACAGGAACTCTATGTGAAGCTTTGTTAATGGTAATTACATAAATCTTCACAACTATTTTGCTTTTTAAATATTTATTTATTCTTTGACTGTGCTTTTATTTAGGTAAATGCATATAATACAGGTCTTCTTATCCCAAATAAACATGAGGAGGAATCTTTAGCATTTTATAAAGATAGTAAAAACCAAGAAAGACTTGTTCATGATGATACTTATATTGGTGGTCATGTTGAATCATTGGAAGCCGGTGTATTCAGATCAGATCTACCTGTTAAATTTGAAAGCCTTGATCCTCAAGAATTTCAAAAGGTTTCTTCTATATTAAAACGATTATTTTTAATGATCAAGTTTTAGTTATATATATTAAATATATATATTTTTTAAAAATAGTTGATTAAAAACACTGATAAAATACT